TTTCTTTGCCAAGAAAGGAGCTATATAACGCAGCCAATGCAGTGACCTGAACTTGGTGAAGAGAATATAAAAGGCAGCGGCTCGGCAGAATGACAAACTTGAGATATTCATTGTTCTCGGTTCCCCTGGATGAGCTAAGTCCAAGACTGTGCTTCGCAACTTCAAAAGATATCAACAACCCACTTTTCCAGACGTGAAAAGTGCTATTCGGGCGGAGCGCGTATGCCTGCCTAGAGCGCGATTGGCTCGTGGGTACGGTAGGGACGGTGTCTCTACTCGTGAGCCAATCGCGCTCTCGAGAGCAGGCATACGCGGTCCGCCTAAATAGCGCTTTTCACGTCTGGAAAAACGGGTTATTGATATCTTTTAAAGCTGCAAAGCACAGTCTTAGACTTAGCTCGTCTAGGGGAACCGAGAACGATGAATATGCCGAAGTTGTCATTCTGCCGAGCCGCTGCCTTCAACTATTTCTATTTCTTATTGTCAGCGGCTTTGAGGTGATGACCACTTGCATTTGTTTCCGAAGCAGGGCTGGGCACGAGGTGGAACCAAAGAGTTCTGAAAAGCCTCACTGACTTCGCAGAAAACCTCCACAGGCCCTCAGTGTTAGATGTGTGGATAAAAGCAAAATTTTCGGAAGTATACGGAAACGAACATCAAGAAAGCTCCTTTGGAGGAGACCTGCGCCATCGTTCGAATTTTTGAGGAGTTGATCAAGCTTGGAAGAAGGGTTAGAAGGAACAGGTAGTAGTAAATAGGATTTAGGGCTTAGGTATAAATTGCGTGAATGGTCGAAATATGGTGTGAAAAAAGGAGAAAATTATGACTTCAAATCCTCTGGGCGACCACAATTGGCTCACAGCTGGTAGGCCACCTAACTTGGAAAGAATTTCAAAAACGTTACCAGCGTGAGCTTATTGATAGGTGTTGCTTTTGCAAAGAAGGATAGATTGTAGATTGCTACGCAGTGATGAACACGTGAGACATCTAGAGATGATGAGGTGAGGACGTGAGATTAGCCAGCTCTTCGAGGAATTTTGCGCGCGGCTAGTTTTAGTTATAAAAGTACAATTTTCAGCTTTTAATTCTCTAGCGATCTCGCTTATCCTCCTCTTTGCATTTCACACCATACAACCATATACATTTGGTCCGTGCGCCACCATTCGAGCTCCATACCGAAGGAATTGAAGTCCGTCGCTAACAATGGTTTGGTGGACACGCACAACACAATACCGCTTAGACTTCAAAAGAAGTCATCGAATTTGCGTCGCATTGCTGTATTCTGGTAGAGCGTGGATGAACTTTGAGAGCTCCGTTCGACTCAGCTCGGCGAGGCGCAAGTTTCGATGAGTAGAATTGCCACCTTGGATAGGTTGGCAGGATAGTCGGCCAGGTTTCACGAACCTAGAGTATCACTCATGGTAGGTTACTGACAGTGCATGGCTTACTCATTGTGCATTGCGTATTTAGTGTATGTGTTTAGTCATTGCACATTGAGTAACCTGCCGTTGGCAAAAATTTACCGAATCTGACCGCTTACCGCGCACCAACCATAGCCATGGGGCACTTCTGTAATCAGAAGATGCGCTTCGCCGAGCTGAGTTGAATGGTGCCCTTGAAATCAGGAGCTCTCCACTCTAGAGCAGAATATGGCGATGCGACGCTGATTTCGGTGGACTATGGTGGAATTTGGTGACTTTTTGAAAAATTGTGGACGTTGTTGTACCTTAATATGTTTTAAAGCCCTATCAACCATGCATTCAAAAACGTATTCGGCTTCAGACTCGGGCTTAATTTTTCCACCTTTGAGGAAAAGATGAAAAACGCAAATTCCTTGAGGGATGAAGTCGATTGCATCATCTCGATCATAGACCAATCATAGACACATTCAAAAAAAAAGAGATCTACAACTGACCATCGCTGAGCAGCCTTTTTGCTCAGAAATCTCATGAAAAGCGGTGATTTTAATTTTGACAAAGCACATTTACGTCTTTGTGGGTATATTGAGAGCAGCAAAGAAAAAAACCTGTTCACCTTTTCGGATTCAGTTTGCTTGTCCTTAATTTTATCCGATCCAGCCAAAAACATAGTTACCATGTTTCCATTCGCATCACTTTCCATAAATTCTGTACACATGGTGTGAGGCTCTTTAGAGACCTATCCAAGTTTTTTGTTGTAAACAAGCCGTTCGTTTAGCATACTTTTACGGTATGCCCTTTCGCTTTATCTAATGAAAACGATATAGCTGGCTCTAGACCAACTGTGCCGAGCCTACAATTTGTCGTAAATATTCGGACATCATGAAAGTATGAAAACTTTACTGTGAGGACCTTTCAGTGTGATGTGAACATTAAGGGAGAACCTTTGTAACGATGCGAAATGACGTATCAAGTTTGGGTAAAGGGGCTAAGTTTTAGCTAACTTTAAGAGAAAAACTTTCATTCGCTTGTAAACTCTTATGAAATAAAAGCAAAACACATCAGCCCTTGACTACTTATTCAGTATTTCGATATTCTACCTCTCCGTAGCCCTAATCGTATCTTACCGACACTAAAAAAAGCGCTCATTGGCCATCTTTTTTTTGCAAGCAAATGTTTCGGCGCGGAGCACGATAGTGAAATTCGTTCATTTCGTGAAAGATCAAAATCACCATAGGATAGAAGGTAACACTAAAGTTATTCAACTTTCGACGTCATATTTTTAGAATTTAAACTGTTCCTCAAATCAAACATTCGTCAACCACGACCTAGATGAACTTGATCTACTTCGTTTGGCAACATTTGTTGTTGATATGGACGCGATATGCAAATAAGGACAGATTGACGAACAAGATCATGCGCAAGATATGCACGGCGAGAATAATGGATACCATGATTTTTAAATCTGATATAACAGTAATGGGATCTCACTAAAGTCCGCGATGAACTTTGAAACGACATTCCAGGGAAGGGATTTCCTACAAATATACGAAATAGGAATTTGAATCAAAATAATGCCGCAGCATTGCCATCATGCGATACCGTGGCAGAGTAAATATGCAAAAGAGGGAATAGGCATTCGGTAGAATAGAGATCTACAAGTAGTTCTCTGGTTTATCAATTTTGATACCTGAAAATTGAAGGCAAAATTTGAAAGGCTTTGAATGCTTGGAAATTAAAATCCTACGCACCCCCAACCTGCCCACGCACATAGCCTTTCCATCACACACCCATATGCATAGTTCCGTGATTTCTCCACGGCGAGAAGTTGAGAAAACAAATTTTGGCATGTTTCTCTCAAAGCACTCCCGTCCTCCCCCATGTTGCTTTGTAAGTTTAATCGGAAGTATAATGATGATTTCCAGCTCTTTACATGCCTAAGTTCTCGAGAAATATCAAATTATCCAAAATCAAAAAATCCGAAATTGTCGACATTTTCGTACCTTTGGCCCATATACATATTAGGTCGTTCCGGAAGTCACATCGCTTTTTCCAAACGTACGCCACAGCTCGTGAAACAAAGATGTGTAAGAGGTTCTAGTAGCACTTGATGCAACATTTCATTTTCTTTTTAATGGTCATATAGCCATTGCACAAAATTTAATAACCTTCGAGAATTATCAAAATCTGCGACCCATGCTTTTTGAGAAGGCCAGGCACAATTTTCATAAATTTTTGTTCCAACCTCTGGAAGCAGTCCAAGTAATGGATGAATAGAGCAAACCCTACATGAAACAGCACAACTTTTTTTTACTTTCCAGAGCTCGTCATAATTTTTGTATGGATTTTTTTAATGGAATTACCGAATTTTAGCAGGCTCGTCTTAGACACAAATACATCAAACACCAATAAATCTTCGTTTTAAAACTTACAAAGATAGATTATGGTTTGACACTAAACCAAATGAGCATTCACCGATTCAGATTAGCAACTTAAGAAAATTTCGAGTACAGCCTGGGGCGCCCTGGAAAACCTGAATTATAATGGTTTTATCCCGGAAAACTTTATGAATCGGAAACAAAAAACAAGTGATAGAAAGAGGAGAAAAAGCTGCGTCGAATGACACCTGCGTTACTTGCCGGTTGTTGTTCTGTGAGGTTTGAGTTGACCAAAAATGGTATTTAATGGCATTGAAAAATTGATTCCAGAAACTCTAAGAAGCAAGCTAAGGAAAAGAAAAAAATTATTCTGCGTTCTATAGGGTTTGCTCTATTTATCTGTCACATGTATTTCTTCGGAGAATAGGTGCAAAAGTTTAGAAAAATAGTCGAACTTAACCATGGCAAATAGCATGAGTTGCAGGTTTTGGTAATTTTTCGGGAGCTCACTGAATATTATGCGACTAAATTACAAGCATTAGAAAGAGGATGAAATGCTGCACCGAACGCTCTTAAGATCTCTTGAAAATGTGATTCCATGAAATGTGCCGTATTTGAAAAAGCGACATTGCTTTCGGAACGACCTAATAAATCATATTTTTCTAATTCTAGCCATGGGAAAAATTCAACAACTATACAAGTGGATGTCTGATGTGAGAGTACCTGCGCGAGCAAATCTGAAGTCGATTTTTCGAGTATAAGATTTTTTATATTTTGGCTTCAAACTTTACGTGGATCAAACTTTCAGCAAATGCTCTGAAGCCCTCTCGTGGGCTTCAGAAGAGTAGAGCGTGCTTTGTTCTATCATAAGATACCCCATTCGTTGTTTTTTGCATTCACTCCGCGTCGGTAAGAAGTGATGCGATATTATTCTCAACGACCTGACACAAATAAAAATAAACAATTTACGTTCTTCAGATAAACATTTAACAGATAGACAACAGTGAACAACAGGAAATCAACAACAGTCAAACTCGACCATATTGAAAAATGTTAACCATTATTAGCCAGACTAAGCTAAACACTCAACAGCGCAGGAGATCACAGAACAATTTTGTAGCCAACTTTTTAGGAGAAAATATCTGTATGATATTTGAGAATGAAGCAGGAATTCAGCTGAATTACATAGATGCAATACTTTCATGCCAAGAAATAGAGGAAATTCAGCAAATCTTTTGTAATAAACCTGGTTACCGATGTCCACAAAAGTAAAAAATATGTTTAACGTAATGATATAAATGTGCAATCGGTAGTCACTTTTGCTCGGAGAGTGGTGGTGCTAAGCACTGAGCGATAAATATCGGTGCAAGATGAGAAACAGGTGGAAGAACATGGCACGGACCGTCGAATAAGCGTATGGCTGCACCCTTCGCTGCAGGTCGTGCAACAGCTTCGGCCGATGTTTTCGAAGATGATTTGGCGGGGGCCAGCTGGGCAAAAGGGGTCTTTGCCGTTGAACTTGACACTTGCACAGTTCGCATCTCGTCCTCCTTGGGGTGGGCAAAGAGCAACCCCTGAAGGGAGATGATATCAAGGTTAGACTTATAGTGAACAGACATTATCTGATGAACATACAAAAGCACTAGAGAAAAGTTGGGGTAAAATACCTTTTCAGTCCTAGCAACAACAGCGACGTGAGTCCCATCACCGAGCGCCAACAGATCATCTACAGGCGCACCAAATTGGAAAGACATTTTCAGAGCAGCAGTTTCCACATCAAATTCCATGACTGCAAAAATGAGCCAGAGTTTTTCTATGGAGCTAGAATAAGCGTGTCATATATACCTCTGGATGATAAAAACTATAGCCCCTTTAAAGGCAGTGTCCGGACAAAAACTCGATTTTGATATTTTATGCTTACCCGGGCCTATTCGCTATGCTGAATCCGAAATTCCACATTGGAGAGCGCGAAAACAACGAAAAAGGGCTCTAATACTAGAGGGAAATCAGCAAGTGGGCGGGGTCTTCCCCATGGTGAATTCACGCTCCCAGCTTCGGGGGCGATCTTATTGATTCCGGTTTCAAGTCGTTCGTTTGCACTTGATCGGTAGTGATGTCAGGGCGGCTAATGGATTCGAGAAAATTGCTCTGGAAGCTGGAAGCGTGAATTCACAGTGGGGAAGACCCCGCCCACTTGCTAATTTCCCTCCAGTGTTAGAGCCCTTTTTCGTCGTTTTCGCGCTCTCCAATGTAGATTTTTGGATTTAGCACAGCGAATAGGCCCGGGTAAGCACAAAATCTCAAAATCGAGTTTTTGCCCGGACACTGCCTTTAAGGTCACACGTCTGAACATGTGATATTCCCACGAAAACTGGTGTAAACGTGGCGGTTCAATAAAGAAAAAAAAGGAGTAATAGTAAAAACGAGATAATAAGCATTGCTGACAAAAGTGAAAATTTGGAAGGATGACAGCATTATGGGATGCAAAAATAACTCTTTTGATAAGCTGCCCAAGTTGAAAGACGAAATCCCAGGAACCCATCACACTCCGCCGAGAAAAGTCGAAAAGCGCCGAAAAAAGCCCAAAAGCGCTCAAAAGCTCAAAAAAGCCCAGAATCGCTAGAAAGAGCCGGAACGCCCCCTTCCGTGCGCACGTTTTGGCGCTAAGGAATGTGTGTTGATTTCGCAACCGAGTCCTTTTGGTCATTTTTTGTCGTGCCCACATCAAAATAATCTCAGAATTCTACAAAAGTTCGTCACAGAGTTCCGGCTCTTTCTGGCGCTTTCGGGCTTTTTTCGTGCTTTTTGGGGCCTTTTCGGGCATTTTTGAGCGCTTTTGGGCTTTCCTCGGCGAAGTATGACAGGTCCCTTAGCTTGTGAGCAAACTTTCTTTTTGCAGAGTGATCAGTGATCTTTTCCCTAAATATAACATGAATATAATATGCAAAACTAGAAGGACGCGTGTACAAGGCCCTAGACTTTTTTTAGGAGGATGTGCATAGCTGTATATATGTGCTAAGAAGATCATACCAAAATTAAAAAATGCTATATAACAAGTCCCTGCGATTCTACGATATGACATTTGCACAACGCTGTGCACACTTTTATCAATTGTGCACTTCTTTTCACAAAATGTCAAGAAAATTATGACATTTACAGATGTAATATTCATTGACATTTACAGATGTAATATTCATTGATAAGACACTCACCGTTGTTTTCATTCCAAGCGAAACCTCCCAGTGGTGAGACGTGCACTCGCAGTGATTGTTCGACAATCCAGAGGCACTCTATCTGCATTGCCGAATGTCGCCAACACTTTACGCTTTTGTCAGTGGCACAAATCAGATGATTCTTTCCATCAAATTCAACACTACTAACTTTCCCATCCGTGCGCAACACTTCAATTTCGGTCAACTGAAAAAGTACGAAGTGCTATGATGATTAGAAGGCATGGAACGTTGACTCACATCAGACGTATTCCAAACAATGACAACGTCAGTGTCGTTGGCACCTTCTGGGTGTGCAGATGCCCACATTCCTTGATGTATAACAGAGCCAGCATGAAATTCGGATTCCTAAAAATATTCAATTATAAACCGGTAGAATAAGAGGACTTGAAATGACACTACATGAACGCATAGGAATCATACCAACACCAACAATTAGCTATTACAATCTAGCACATTTTTCGCACAACGTGGTGTACATGAGGTGCCGAGATTTTGCGCTAAAACTTGAACGTAAAGAAATCGCCAAACCAGTAGTGCGGCATTTTGCGCGCGCAAGTCGCCGGTATCATTGGGATAGCTTTCTGTTTGAGAGGCAACGCAAGCACACTATATTAAGAGAAAATTTATTAGACGGTAAGTGACTGGCAATAAAAATCTTCCTCATTAACAAATGGCACCCACCCGATCAATCTGTCTCACTGGGTCCAATTTGTATCGTGTTCCGTCTTCGCAGGGTATCCACACATTCACTCTTCCCGTTTTCATGATTGAGAAGAATATCTAGAACATTTTGTCATATTTCTACAAAATGTCTCGAAAAAGGGACCACTTTTTCAGAGATAGAATTAGGTCGCCTGAAGCCAGTCACATCGATGGTCTCTTTGGAAACAATAAACGAATCAACCACTTGCACAGAATGGTTGCTTCCTTCGATGCGCTCCCAAAAGCGTAGGCGCTTCTGAAATATGTTAGCCTGCAATGTATAAGATATAAATAGAGAAGAAAAAACCCACGTGCTCTTCTTCGAAGTTGATAACAGTTTCAAGCGTCACTATTGTAGTACTCGATAAGAAAACCTGTTCAACATCAGGAAATGTTTGAGTGATTCCAGCAAACGACATATCACCATCAGCTACATTTTCCAGCGAAAAACTAGTCTAGAGATAAAGAGATCAGAGAAAGTGGGCATAAAACCAAAGCACATACCTGATGGTCAGTTTTCGAAGCAGCACAATCGATCCACTGCAGGGAACCCGGTTTGCCATTCATAACCAACATATTCGGTGCAGAAGGATCCCTGCAATTGATCTTCAGCCTTCATTATTGAATTGGCAAAGACTCAATGAAAAACGAACGTGGTGAAAACAGAATTCAACGAGCGTCTGCATGTAGCTACCGTATCCAGAGTAGAAAGTATATTCATGCTTGATGTGACCACCACATGCAATGAATTGTCCTCTAGAAAACATAGATAATACTAAAACAATGGGACGAAAATCTTACCTAGTATGATTGCTACGTGACTGTCATCGTCGGAGAGAGCCAAATCACGCACAGCAGCAGCAAGGCGTGGAAGCATACTCGGTCGACCCGTACCCGTGAGCGTGAATTTACAGAGGACGCCTTCAGCTCCAGCGGAAAGTAAACCGCCATAATGAGTCAAAGCTATGCTAGGGGCGACCTAAAGTGAAGGTGTTTCTTCAAGGAAATCTCGCCAGACTTCGCCCAAAAGCGCTCAAAAGCGCTCCAAAGCGCCCAAACTTCTCTAACCTCTCCTCACTGTTTCTCATCTCTCCTCACACGAAAAAGTGAGGAGACACCAGAGAAATTTGGGCGCTTTTGAGCGCTTTTGGGCGAAGTGTGGCCAGGGCCTAACATTGTTAAAATAAAAAAAAATAAGACACAAGAGACTGACCTTATGCCAATGAATAGTAAAAGCAGAATCTTGCACGCCTTTCTGGGACACATTCGACCTGAGAAATGGGTTGATTAACAAGCAAATTGTACTAAAAAGCACTCATATAACTAGCACATACCAAACATATACCCTTCCAATGGCTAGCGTTGCAGCGATCGTATCACCCGAAGCCGTAATCCTAATAAAGACGTTGTCAGCATTTCGGTCTCCCAAGCCTAGATAAATTCAAGAAGCGTGAAAGTCGACCAAGATTGCACAAAAAATACCTTCAATGTGTGTTTTGCAAACAAAACTACTTGGCGACATTTCGGAATCTTCCTCAGTTGGAATCATGAAAACTTCTTTACCGCTACAGTAGGCTACATAATGCTCCTGCATACGAAAAACATACATAGACCCATTACTTCTACATCCCGCCTTACCGTGATAGCGATTTGCTCAGATTTGATGGAAGCAGGAAGCTTCGCAACGGTTGTCAACGACTTCTCATGCATGACACTATCGACTGTTAAATTATCTCCATGATCGACGACGATCATACAGCGTCGACTTTCTCGCAGATACACCGCCTTCCTTCAAGTTCACATGTATGAAAAAATAGTTGAATGATCTTGAAACTAGAATGGTACATCAGGATAGTGAACCACATCTTAAACGAATACTCACTTGACAGGAAATGCTGTGATTTTATGAGATGAGACTTGTGCTTGATTCTCACCAATAACCGACCATTCCGTTATCTCTCCACTTCTTGTCACAGCCAATAACTAAATGAGCTAGAGAGCTCACGCTATAAACATTGAAGATCCCAAAATCTCACCTTATCTAATTCTACAAAGAAAGCAGAAGCTAAATTGTCCTTATGTTCCAGCACTGTGATTCTTATTCCATCGGTAACCGAGTAAAGCACACAAGCGGATCCGATGCATGCAGCAACAACTCTTCAAACAGATATCACCATCACAAACTTGACATTGCGTAGGTTTCATCTCAGTTTCAAAGATTAGAAGTTTTGCTTACATTGACAAGGCTACGAGAAGATACAAAGAAATAGTTCCAGCTAAGCCTTTTCAAATATAATGAATTATATAATAACTACCTACTCAAGCTCATAAGAAGACCTCTGATTCGATCAAACCAGCACTACATAATAGACAACGGCGAGATGCCATCTTTCGGACAAGGTCTCTCAGACAATATCTACTCTCTTAGGCTTCCGACGAAAAAATGGTATGTTACTTGATTTTATTTTAGAACAGAAAGCTTTTCAATCACAAACGTTAATTATGGAAAGTGTTGGAAGACCTTGACTTTATTGTAGGATGCATTGCACATATCATACCACTCCATTACCTCCTATTCTGTGTAAATTCAGTCATGTCGAAAAAAAGAGATGTTAGTAAGCCTTCAGTCTTTAGCATATGATGTAACTTTGATCTGCCAAAACTGATTGTTGCTTATTGCAAAAAAGTCTATCTCCAAGAAGAGTAAGAAACACCAAGCAACGGTTAACATACGTATTGTCAGGGTTGAAGGTTACACATCCAATGGGAAGATTGTGCAAGCTTTCAACTGTCCACGTTTCCGCCGACATCACTATGAAGAAAAAAAGATTGACGAGGAGAGCATCTTTCACTTGTAGATGATATGGTTAGCTCGCAAGCTTTGGACAGAATTCTCCATCACGAAAAAAACTTTACTCAAAGTATTTATACAAGGCAAGGTATACAGACAGGAATGGACACATGAGGTATTGACTATTCGATGTAGGACAGGGCTTGAATATATGATGCTAAAGCAATGCTCAAAAGCATTCCACAATGTGTTCGTCATATATTAGAGTGTACCTGTTATACTATGCACACTAAACTGGGATTTTGAAGGCAAGGTTAGAATGCACTGGAAAAGAAATGCGGTTGGACCAGTTAAGTGAAAACAAACTATTTAATCATATGATTGAATGCAAACTGTAATCGGTATAAACCTTCTCGACTCTGCCATACACAACTTGTATTTTAGCAACAACATCGGACAAAACTTCGCGTACATAACTCTCCTCGGGCATGCTTCCCTGTATGGAAGTGATCAACTGACCACGAGAGGGGAGAGTGTATGAGGCTAATCCGACAGCTTTCCGAATGACCCAAGGGTGGAACCTGAAAAATTCAGATGCAACGAGATTAAATCATACATTGTGGAGGCGGAGTCTTGCCAACTCACCGCGTGGCGGTTTTGCTAGCGAGAGAGTACGAAAAGCAATGCTATGACGTGGAGGTTTAGCAAGTTTACCTGTGTTATCAGGCAAAGTCTGCAATACACCTCCACATGAATCTGGGAACCGATCATAGAATGATACGCTTGGCGCCAGCCACACACAGGAAGAATTTTACTATAAGCTGTTTTAGACTAAACCTTCAAAAAATCACCTAAATTTTTTACACGTGAGAACAATGTACTTGAGTTACCTCATGTAGGCTACCATCAAAATTCTCGCGACTCATTTGGGGGGGGGGGGTATGACGTATGACAGCCATAAGCGCATATAACGGGCAAAAAAGTACCTCTTATCAGTCTTTCAGCTGAGGTTCCCTCGACGGAAGTCTAGAGGAAGATAAGGCTGCTTATGGTATATGACACCTGGTAATCTTAATCCATTGCTCGATAACTAATGAAAAACACCAGCTATCGCATATACGCTTTCAACAATAGATTAAAAAAAGCTTGTCGGAAATAGCTAGCTATGTTATTGCAAACCTCCATTAAATGTCTATGAAGACGAAAAAAATAGAGAAAAACCCCTTCACGCACGACTTCCTAGATATGGTAACTAGGTAACACTGGAGTAAATATCACGCAAGGCATGCCTAGTTCTCTTTTTTGATATAGAGTGAGGCGGTCGCATGATGCAAGTAAGCCCATTTCCAGATGGACATATATACTAGCATTAGCACAATCCACGCAACAAATGTTAGCTCATTGCCATCATATATTTCCCTCGGTACTTACACGAAACTCATGGGACGTTCGCCATCTCGCATAAGAGCGGGAAAAAATCGCAACGGCAGGAAAAATCTTCATGCTTGGCGCAGTTTCTAGGCACCTGGCGCAATTACACTACAAACTAAATAAAGATTGATAGTGAGATAGTGTTCATTGGATAAACATACAATTGTGAATATTGGTAAAAGTGAGAATAACAACTTAAATTACATGCATGTTAGTTGAAAATAACTTGACAAAAAACATCCCTACCTTGCTAATGTATCCTCGTAAGTTTTGCGACAGATCAAAGAAACACTGTCTTCATTCGTACTTTCCGCCAGAGCGTTGATGAAGGCACAGATGAATTCCAAGGCACTGAAAATATGCATAGATCTGCATAATAATCAGCGTCGCATTTCGCAACACAATACACTATGGAATTATGCAAAGCGAAAATTCACAAAAGATCTGCTAATGTGATAAAACAATCTCAATCAAAAATACATGAACAAACAAAGAATTGAGAAAGGAAACAAAATCTTTGAAAATCTAGGGAATGCCAAATTTACTGAAAGAGAAGAACTAAAGACATTTGTGCTGCAAAAATATATAAAACAGGTGTAATAAAAAGTCTTTACAGCATGTGACAGTAGTCGGATAGTTAGGTTACCCACCGATGCAATGCAAGAAGAGCTTTTGATCCGGTGTAGTCTTTATTTTCGTGTTCAAAAGCTATCATCTTCTTTACGCTCTGATAAGTCGGTGCCTTTTGATAGAGCTCTCTCAACTTTGCCGTCTTCTCTCGGACATCAACTTGTACGAAATGGAATATTTTACCAAGCAAACCGATAAATCTGGAATGTCACCGTGCAATCAATGGAGACGGAAAAAACTAATTACTGCTCACTTATTCAACTCTATATAGGCGTCGATGAAATGGCCGAGCTCGACATCCTCTTCTTGAAGTTCTGAAGACGCACTAAAGCTTTTCTGAACTATCTCAATTCTAAACTTCTCGGGTGTTCCTGTGGAGCTGCTCGAACTATCATCACTCATGCCCCTGAATAGCAATGCTGCTAAGAGTAGAGGGGAAAGATGAATTACAGCAGTCAATGATTTTATGGAGACGAAATGGTACTGGTGGGTCAAATCTTTCACGACACCAAGAGTCTGCTTTTCTGGAATCCGCGCCTCTCTGCTTTTGATCTCAATTTAAAGATAGAAGAAGGTTTCCGAGCAACCCAGTATGAATACTGTGGCTTTAACAAAAGCAATTCGCTCTTTGTACTTGAAGTTACGAGATTTGTAAATTACACGAGCAAAGCATGCACAATATTACAAAATGAGCAAAATAAACTGATAACGAGTTCGAAAATAGAGCAAATGTCTACCAAATCACAGATAAGGATGGAATTCAACTGACAGGACTAGCAACTGTGGAGAAAAGTGCCACCATCGTTTCTGCATTGATAATTGCAGTCGCAACGACTCCGCCCATCGCAGATTGTGGACCAGCTTTTGCAAAATCGAGGACCTTTAATAACACATCAGATAATTTTTTTCTGCAAAAGTACGTCAGCTGCCCTTGACAGTGTGCACTTTTTCAAACATCTAGGAAACACCACACTGATATGATCTTCCCTCGTGCAAGAGCGTCTTTTCTTGCTACTGACTTTGAGAACTCTGAGGCTTAGTTGCCCATCTTGCTCGTACTCTAGTAATGAGGCATGATTTGTATTTTTCTCGTATTATTGTTATAAATGCAAAACGGAAACGATTTTCTAATGCACTTCTTATCAGTTTGGGTCATTGCTTCCAGTTGCTATGTGACGTGTTCTAAATCCTTTTAAGCTGGTTGCTTTACATATTTAAGGATTGAGGATGCAGTACCAATCTTTGCCTCTGTATGTTGGGCGTTTGCAGGAAAATGCAATGCATATTGATCGGGGCTGAGGAAAAGGCGCACCACATTTGCTCTGTGGCGCTCACCGAATTCAGCATGTAGGTACATAGATACATTCTATATGAAGTTTAGGCTCGGTTCCTACTGATTCGAAATTCCGGATTAGTTCCACCACAGTTCTCGCACTGTGCTGGAATTGTGCCGGAACTGTGCTGCCTGCGCTGCACTGCCCGCATGCGGTTTTGAGTGGCGTGAATTAGGTATTTTAAGCCGTTTTTATTGGTTTCCCCCAAACTTCAGTCATTTCGGTCTCATTCTTCTCTTCCATGAATCAAGGTTGGAGAATGAGCGACCTTCTGCTTCCATTATCGGGGAAAATGTGTCTGCTGCGCTCCTCCATTCTGTCTCCGTTACACTTGTTGAGACCTAATTCTTGTGTTTTAGGAAGCGCTGCGTAGTACCGCATCTGGGGGTATAGACAGCTTTCGGAGAGAAGAGAGAATGGACGAGCGCTCGAAAACACATCTTTTCGGATACATAGAAGCAGAACGAGGCTCGTTCTCCATCCCCGCTCCATGAGCGAGGTTCTTCTCATCAAAGAAGCGGACAGAAGAATCAAAAAAGAAGAGTGCAATTTGAGAGGAAAACCGTTAAAACACAGTCAAAAATCTCTAACCCGCCGCTCAAAATCGCATGCGTCGGCTGCAGCCATGTAACACAGTTCCAGCACAGAGCAAGAACTGTGCTGGAACTGTTCCGGCACTTTTAGATCAGCATGAAGCAGGGCCCGGCAAAGTCGTTCAGTTTCTGAAAACGAAGTCTCCCCTGACTTCTGAAAATTTCACGACGTCACCTTTGAGGTTTATCGAACTTATCGACTTACAATTAGGAGAAGATGAAAACAAAAAAATTCACTAGTCTTAGGGAAAGACCTGAAATAAGAGTGAGGATCCTTTCAACTACGCCAGAAGACGTAGCCTGCCGCAGCACGTCGCATCCTACGGCATAGTATGAAGGAACCCTGACAATTCAAAATGGATCTGATTACTACGGTCTATCCCAAACGGGATTGCGCTGCATACAGTCTGCCCCAATCGGGATCAGGCCGAACCGTCGGCTGAATTCGTAGCGCTAGGGGTCTGCGCTGCATATGAGCGCTGTCGCAGAGAGCGATGAGATTGAGGAGGGAGCAGGCTAGTTAGCCACAGAAGTGGCGTGAAACCCTCGCGGCGCGGACTCTCGCCATGCCAATTTTGGCCTGGTTAGGATTGGGGCAGACTGTACGCGCTTTGTCGCACAGAGCGAAGAGATTGAGGAGAGAGACTAGCTAACCGTAGACGTGACACAGTACGCTTGTGACACGGATTTCCGCCATGATTTTCGGCCTGGTTGGGAACGAGGAAGGCTGTAAGCATGCACAAGAGTTTGGCATTGGAGCGCAATATCTAACAAAGCGATGTATGAAGAAATTGGGGCAAAAATAAAGGAAAGGCAACGATATGAAAATGTCGTTTTGCTCAGGGACAAATTCTTGTCTCTACGCTGTAAACAAGCAATATGTATAATCTGACATTCGTTGCGTACGGACGACGCGCAAAAATGGAGTTGCATATGAACTAGGGAATCCGTCTATGATAGAAAAATCCAAAACTTACGTGAAACAAAAATATATGCTTCATACGGTCTCAGATGGTATAGTGGCCGTTTGGAAAGGGACTAGTTTTGGAAAAGGTAATACTTCACATGAGTTTTCATAACTTTCTACATGATTTTTCAGCAAACAAGTGTTATGTGCTGGTCTCTACGCTGTAAACAAGCAATGTATCTGACATTCGTTGCGTACGAACGACGCGCAAAAATGGAGTTGCATACAGTCTGCCCCAATCGGGATCAGGCCGAACCGTCGGCTGAATTTGCGCGCTCGCAGTGCTAGGGGATTGCGCTGCATACGCGCGCTGTCGCAGAAAGTGAAGAGATCGAGGAGAGAGCAGACTGCCAGCCGCAGTTGTGGCGCGAAACCCTATCGGCGCGGACTCCCGCCATGCCGATTTTGGCCTGGTTAGTATTGGGGCAGACTGTATGGGCGGCGCGTATGAGGTATTTTTTTACGCGGCGCGACATGGCTCGGTTTATGTAAAGAGGGTGGGGGGGGTGCCATGACGGGACCAACCGAGTGCCTTTAAAGGCACCGTCCACCCAAAATGAGGTAGATGAGATTTTGATGCCTAACAGTAGTGGACCCCCAACTGTATACTTGTCCAACTTGCGCTAACAAAAGTTGCTTCCGGAGCGAGAAAATGGCTTCGAAAATCGCTCGAATGACAGAATCGCCACGTTGGCTCCTCCCCTTTCAGTGGCGTGACGTTCGTCTCTCCCATCCTTGCGCCCCCAACCAATCACCGTTCCATAGAAAGGCGCTATTCCAGTATCCGGGCCCCAAAATTTTTTTGTCGTGGATTTCGCTAAAACTTCGTCTAGGGGGTTATTTGGTATGCTGAACACAAATATGATGTTTATTTCATTCGATAGCGCCATCCGGTGGAGTACGGTAAGATTACGGTAGGGGGCCAAAATCACGGATTTGCCCGAAACTTGACCCAGAGGGGTTATTCGGCCCGCTGATGCTAATATCACATTGGTTTTGTACCGTAGCGTCATTTTCTCGGGTTACGGTGGGTAAACGGTAGGGGGTCAAAACCTCAAAATCCGTTGCAGCTTCGCACAGAGGAGTCATTCGACAGTCTGATCAGAAATGTCACACTTTCTCCGCATAAAAACGTTTACCTACATGGTTACGGTAGGTTTACGGTAAGGGTCAAAAACGCTCGGCAAATGTATCTTTCCCCTGTGTTTTGCTTAGGCAAAAGCCGCAGCAGGTGTGTAGCGCGCGACGGTGGTCGTGTTGCAAAGCTTCATGATCGTCCATATCGCCGTACTCCCGTTTCAGGCAGAACTATGTTTTACACCCGTTACCGTTTAGCTACCGCAGTCCGAGAAAATGACGCTACGCTTCAAAACCAATGTGATATTTGGCATCAGCGAGCCGAATAAACCCTCTAGACGAAGTTTCGGGCAAATCCGTGATTTTGACCCCCTACCACAATCCTACCGTAACTCCACCGGACGGCGCTTCGTACGAAATGAACATCATATATTCGTGTTTAGCATACCAAATACCCCCCCCCCCCTAGAGGAAGTTTTAGCGAAATTCACGATTTTCATTTTTTGGGTCAACCTATGTAGAATAGTACCAATTTGTCTGTTTGTAATGTGTGGATCTGTGCGCTCTGTCGCTGATGTCGGCGTGCCACCCGTTTCGACGACATGTAGGGCTCCACCCTTAAATCTAGTTCAAGCACATATTTGAGGCAGATTAGGCTGGTCCGGACAGGATCGGTCCGCCATTACAGTCTGTTCCAACGGTTGGAGGCCGAAGCATTGCAAGAGAGACGGAGAGGAACGCTGTGTCAATAAGGCACTCTCGGACATGATCGATTTTTTGATCTTTGCGCCTGCTAGGCAAATCACTGAGTGGGCGGGACACGTACCGCCCACTAAATAGGGAGGAGCCAGCGTGGCGAATCCATCTTTTGGAGCATTTTTAAAGCGATCTCGTTTTGGAAGCTTCAGACAACGAGTTGGCAGCTATACCGTTGGGGGCCCCACTAGTGCTAGACATCAAAATCATAGACCCCAATTTGGGCGGAAGTGGTGCCTATGTCCCAGGCACGTCCGCCCAAAATGGGCTCTATGATTTTGATGCCGCTCAGAGCGATTGAACTATGAAGTGAGTTTTTTGCCGAAATGTCGCCGCGGTGTATTGTCGTTGAACGGCGCTAAGGGTGAGGCAGGGTCCGATTTTGTGAATTGGATTGAAATCGACGGTATGCGGCTCGACGATGCGTTTTCACAGGTTTCCTCAAGAGCAGCTTTCGGACAAAACTTGAAACTTCCATGTATAGGTCAGTCTTGGTTTTTCACCTCTTCGGAGCCTTCGCGCCATGTTAAAGCCATATCTTAGCTTTTCAGCACTTAAAAAAGGCAAAAATGAGCTTTTTTGAAGCTCTCAATGTCCACGTTCGCTTCAATTTACTTGTTAGAAGTAGGCAGGGTCGAAAAGACTTCCGGAGCGCATTTTGGGTTTTTTTAAGCGCTTTTTCGCTTCAGACTTCACTGATAGACTATCTGGAGGATCTAAGATTGGAACATTGTAAAATCGCGGTATCCATCTTTTTGAAAGGACGCTGCCTTTAACAATAATGAAACACACAATGAAGCTTTACCAATATCGTGGTTGCATATCGTAATCTACACCATTAACGTAATTTTACTAAAGTGGTTCCAAAAAAAAGTCTAATCACTATTACAAATAAATTCCTTGGCGCTATTCCACTTAATACAACCCAAAAATTGAAAACCACGGATTTCGCTGAGAACTCGCCCAGGGGTTTTCGACCTGCTGATTACGAATTGATGTCCATTTCACGTGGTGAGGTTTTTTCTTGAGGGGTTACGGTAGGCATACGGTATGGGTTCAAAACCTCAGAATTCACTAAAACTTTCCATGAGGAGGTATTCGATATGCTGATCACGAATATCACACTTTTTACGCACAAAACCCCTGTACCATTACGGTAGGAGGTCAAAACCTAGATTTGGTTGGAATTTGGTCTGGTGGGGTTAATTAGGACGCTGAACATGGATATCATATTGACTTGTACGGTAGAGCCATTTTCTCAAGTTACGGTAGGTACACGGCACATGGGTGAAAATTTCAGAAATACTCAAAACGTTGCTTAGACGGGTTTTCAAGCTTGCTGATAACTATCAGGCTTGCTCGCTATAACAACGCTTTGTGTTGTGGAGGTTATGACAATTTGAGCGCTTAGGGAAGCATCTTCCCCGCTTTTCAGACCAATTAAGATCCCAAAAATTCAAAAGAAGGCCTTATAAGCGACATGAGCGCGGTATTCGTGATGAGCACATCAGATAACACCCTTGCACAAAATTTCAGGCAGATCTACGGTTTTGACCTCTTACTATATACCTACCGTAACCGTACAAGGAGAGGTTTTTGTGCGGGAAAAGTGTGATACTTGCGATCAGCAAGCGAATAACCCTCTAATCCCCCCGCAAAATTTTAGCGAAATCTGAGATCCTGGCCCCATACCATAATGCTACCGTAATCCGACCATAAGGCGTTTTCGAGAGGAATGAATATGGTATTGGTGGTCAGCATGTCGAGTAACCCCCTACGCAAAGTTTTAGCGAATTCTGAGATTTTGACCCCATACCGGATGCCTACCGTAACCACTCAAAGAAAGCCTCACCATGCAAAATGGACATCATTTTCAAGTTCAGGAGGTCGAGTAACCCCTTCGAGCGAATTTTCAGCGGACTCTGTGGTTTTCAATTTTTGGGTTGTATTAGATCAGGACAATCCATCTTTTTTCTCCAATTCCTTGCTTCCCTTTTGATTTGGACATTGGAATTTGATATGGACATTTTGAAATGGACCTTTTTGAACATTTTGTTATTTTTACGTCAAGCCCGTGTAGCAGTTTGCTTGCCAGACGCTTTCGCTTGATGCAGCTGCAGCGAAGATCGATATTCTCAAAGTGCAAATGTACCGCAGCAAAGTGGTGTAGTAGTCATGAAAGAAAGACATGTTTGCTTCCTTCTCCCCAGTAAGGCACATTTGCTATCTATCATACTAATATTCATCTTACATTTATACGTATTTGCATTGCAAGTTTTCTGGCTCTATCGTTGACTGGGAATATATCCGCATCTCCTGTTTCTTTTGCCGCCGTTTTGCTAGAGATGTCAGGGCAGAATACAGCTTCGCTGCTCAGTGTGCAACTTTACGATGCAGAGCCTGTTATTTCACCGCTCAATTGAAGCATTAATTTCATTTTTTGATCAAGACAACTTGACATCCAAAGCTGTTGTCTTGAGTAACCAGAGTAACCACAGCACATAGACATTCTCTGCCCTCACTATTTTTTGACGATCTTTTACTCACTTTGTGGCTGTAAAAATTCTTTCTTCTCGTTTGTCGTTCTCATGAAATATTAGGTTGGTAAGAAAGTTCTCGGACATTTTCAGAAAAGATCTGCTATTTCTCGAAATCTAACGCATATACATCAGACAGAGACACCATTCTATAGAGCAGAGCAAGCTCAACAAGTTGGTATGCAAAAGTTCGCACCAGCTTCGACCCATCATAAGTTTGCACACAAAATCTGAGTCGTACCAAAATTCAAAAAATCGCGAAAATTCATATTTTTGTTCAAACAAATCCTTCGGATCTCCAACTTGCTCGCAAAAATTGCGGACCACATCATACACTCATATGTACCGTTCCTGTATTTTTTCCTTATCTGGAAATCGAGAAAACGAAAATTTTTATGCTTGTGTAAAAACGAAGCTGTGCTGTTTCCACCGACGTAATTAAATAGTACAAGCCCTTAGAAGTATTCAGCTTTCTACAGTCCCTAGTTCCCGAAAATCGCCGAAGTGTGCCCTCCTCACTCGGTCGTTCCATGCTAAAATTAATATTTCTCCACAACTAGGGCTTATGGAAAGCTGAAAATTTATGGTTATACTTCTAAGGCCCCGGTCAGACTTCATGCAATCGCCAAGATTTCCATTCATTTTCATTTCACATTCAAAAACATCGGGCTGGAAAAGTATCACAACCGAATGCAAGTTGATCGGCATGGAATGATGTTGTAACAGTTGTCTCGTCGCGATTCAGTCGCGACGATCAAATCGCGTGAAGTCTGCCTGGGGCCTAAGGGCTTGTACTATTCAATTACGTCGGTGGAAACAGCACAGCTTCGTTTTTAAACATTCATGAAAATTTTCGTTTTCTCGATTCTTTAATGAGAAAAAATACAGGAGCGGTACATATGAATGTCTGATGTGGTGTGCAATTTGCGTGAGCAAGTTGGAGATCAGTAGAATCTTTTTAAACGAAGATATGATTTTGCTCAGTTCTCGAGCCTTCAGTACGACTCAGATTTTGGGTGCAAACTTACGGCGGATCGAAGCTGGTGCGAACTTTGCATACCATCTTGTAGAGCTTGCTTTGCTTTATCGAATGGTGCCTCTGTCTATATATATGCATTAGGTTTCGAAAAATAGCAGATCTTTTCTGAAAATGTCTGAGAACTTTCTTACCAACCCAATAGATTTGTGATTATTTTTACATGAGACCTCTTCTGGCACCTATTGTGGCTAGGATCTGATCAAGTACTAGCTAATGTAGTGCAGGACTAACATTTTACTTTACTTATTTGAGCAATCCATCAGGACTCACTGAAAAGGAAAAAATTAGTACTTTTTTGATTCTAAGAATTCTAACCTCGCGCAGTTTTGAATCATCGGGATGTCACAAAAGTGATTGCACTTTCCATCTTACCGCAACAGGATAGACAACAATAATTTTTGAAGACGTTGATTATTGATCTTCGCTCAGATAAATCCTAAGAATTTTTCAAGGCCCTCGAAAAACTCGTCAGAATGTTTTATTCTTAACTGAAAATGAGATCCATTCTACGAGGCAAATGATTTTTTTCGATCTTGGCTTCGAGCTTTACTGGACCACGAATTGTACGTATGTTTGGCTAACATTTTGTAGAGCTTGCTTTGCACAATCTAAAATCACACTATCTGGTTGTTCCCCATTTAGGGTAGCAGGAAAGCGCCACCATCTTGGTGACGTAATATCTTGGTGTTTAAGTTTTTGTTAGCTACAGCTAGATGTTTTCGAAGATTTAAGCAAGATGGCAGCTGGTCTACATACCTAGGTTTTCATGATAAATAGTTCCCTGCTCGGATACACTCACTCTTTGGCCAAACTATGATTCATTTGAAGCTCCATTGATTCTGTCTTACTGCATGTTGTAGCTACAGAATAGCTCATTTGATAAAAGTAGCGCACTGGCTGTAATCAATCGCATACCTTTTCCTGGTCCCTGACTGCTCAGCGCAACAGTGCAAACAGGTTTCATCTTCCGTCCTCAAACATTGTTGTCTTTTCGCGCTTATGTACTGCCGATCTATTAGTAACGCCATTATTTCAACCCAAATTTCAATTCCAGAAAATGTCCTTGTTGCGTAATCTCACCCGTGGTCCAGGACTTTCTTTGTAAGATCCTACGATTACTTTTGTCGGTTGAGATAAAAAGGTTGTGCACACAGGTTGAGAGCCAAGCACACCCTTCCCGATCTTCCATATGACTACAATGCTCTCGAACCGGTGATCATTAGCGAAATCATGCAACTCCATCACCAGAAACATCATGCAACTTATGTAAATAATTTGAATATCGCCGAAGAAAAAACTCACGAAGCACTTTCCAAAGGTGAGCCAATTAAATTTGTAATGTTTATTAATCTGCAGCTATAATTCCAAAAAATATACTTTAGGCAACATCAAAGAAGCGATTGCTTTGCAGGGAGCGCTAAAATTCAATGGTGGTGGCCATATCAACCACTCCATTTTTTGGACTAATTTGGCTAACCCGAAAGACGCAGGAGAACCTAGTTCTGAACTGATGGCTGCAATCAAGGTAAGCTCGTGAGCTATGTTTCAACTTATTGTATGAGGTCGTCCCGAAAGTTCTTGCGCACGATTTTCAAAAATTCAAAACTTCTGATTTTTCCATCCGATTTGACTGCTTTAATTTTTGTATGAAAGAGTAAGCATGCTCTTTATAATGACATCTTAGCTGCTTATTAATGGTCATCTGTTGCCTAGATAGGAGCGATAGAAGAAAATTGGTCAAAATTCGAATTTTCTGTGTAGGGTCGTAAAAAATCGGAAACTTGCAACAAAAATGAGCAGTCGGTATTGTAGGTTCTTTCACCGCCTCTTTCTAATTGTGCAAAGTTTGCGCTGATTGAGCGCCTCTATGAAAAGTTAGTTCAGGCAAGCAATACAAAAGGGCGAATTTGATTTATTTTGGCATTTTTCAGGAAAATCATAACTTTTCATAGAAGCACTCAATCAGCGCAAACTTTGCACAGTTAGAAAGAGCTGGTGAAGGAACCTATAGCACTGACTGCTCCGATTTTTGTTGCAAGTCTCCAATATTTTATGACTCTATGCAAAATCGAATTTTGACTAATTTTTTTTATCGCTCCTATCTATGCAACAGATGACCATCAATAAGCAGCTAAGATGTCATTATAAAGAGCATGACTTGCTTTTCATATGAAAATAAGAGCAGTCAAATCGTTTGGAAAAATCAGAAGTTATGAATTTTTGGAAATCGTGCGTAAGAACTTTCGGGACGACCTAATATATTGTCGGTTGGTTTGTTTCAACCAAATTAGGTCCCTTTCATAGCCTGAGCATGCTTAACTAACCCCCTGCCACTTTATAACTCAAATGCAAAAAAATAGTCACTAATTCCAATAATTTAGGATAATATTAGGTTGTCAAGAAAATAATGTCGTTTTTCATAGCAAACCAATAAGACAAAGCCAAAAAAATATGTGAGGGGCATCATTCGATAGAGTAAAGCAAGCTCTACAAAATGACATCCGAACACTGGTAGAACTTGTTGCTTACGCAAAATTCAGAACCAAAATATACGAGCAACCGTGATGCCGAAAATTGAATTTTTTGCTTTAAAAAATCCTGCGAACCTCTCAGTTGCTCCTGCACGTAAAAGACACATGCACTTATCCATAGGTACACTTGCTATATTTTCTCCATGCTTATAAATCAAGAAAAAATTGAAAAATGAAAAATGGCAAACTCCGCCCCCATTGGTACTGGGCTCCTCCCACATATGCCTTTGTGTACTACATAGCTTCATGACTTTAACCATAAAATTTTGGCCTCGGATATGCTTTGGTTCTCGAGTAATATTAATTTTACACGAAAAATACCCGAAAAAACGACATTATTTTCTTGACAACCTAATAATATGTCAGCAAAAATGGCTCATTAATAGTCCCCGCCTTAAAGTTAATATTTTTATTTATTTTATTTCATTTCATTTAATACGTTCATGGGCGTTCCAGTACAATAAACAAAAAACACACATATACAGTTATTTATATATAGCCACAAGATCATCATGTAAACCAGATGTAATCCAGGTCTAACCTTTTGGACTAAATTGGTAGATGTAATAGTTCTGCTTGCTGTGACTGCTAAATGATTATGAATTCAGTCTAATGAATGTGATCATGGAGATGTACCCATGCCCTCTTTGTATGCCGGCAGAACGATTTAAGGATATTCTATAAAGTAAATGACATTTCGATGGTAGATGTACTGTCACCAAGCCAGCACCAGAAAGTGTCTAATGACTCTAAGTGAATGGAAGGGTTCTAGTAAATGAATAAATAATATAACATATTGATAATTCAATATGCGAATGGTGCAAGAATCTTTGATCTACCTCCATTTTAGGCAGGTAAAAAGCCATTTTAAACGGAAAGTAAAGAAATCAGTAATCTAATAAAGCCCTGAATTTCGGCAAAAATAGTATCTATGGGTTCTGCTAGTGTTTCTGTGAAATTGTCAGCTTTGTTAAGTCACTCACCTACAACAAAACATTGAAAGGATATAAATGTGCAATTAACTTGGATTCACTTATAAGTCAGTAGAATAATTTCTAAAATTTGAAAAATTCAAACTAGTTTTTGAGAACATATCATCTTTTCGAAAATTTCCGGCTTATAGGTCCACTAAAAAGTTGGGAATCATTCCAAAAATTTGGAAGAGGTGAAATCTTCATTGCACTTCCCTACTCCCTCCTCATTACTCCCCTAGCTCATCATCTTCAAAACCTACGTTGGAATCACCTTGGCGGCTTCTAGAATCTATAGCGAGTTTCTCGGTTGAGAATTCATCCTTTGCAACGAGACTTGGGCAATTACTTAGTGAGAAATCCCACTTCTATACAGCATCAAAATCTCACCACCATCTATCTGGGTGGATGGTCCCATTGAAGGGGCGAGCTATCACAGCGCTTTACGGGCATAGCAAACATCGCCGCGCAGTGACTGCGCGATAGGTGAACTAAAGTCCTGGCCATATGTACGTGCAGCGATTTCATTGTCACAATTCCGTTGCCGGGGATTTTCATGATCAGAGCGACGAAATCGCGGCTATCAAATCGCTGGTCGCGGGTTTTGGACATACCTACCTGTTCAGCGACAGGGTGAAAATACACACTCAGTACTCGTTCTACGTTTTCTTTTGGCATCCAGAAGGCGTAATCAGCATGGTTTCTTTACATTTGCAGGTTTCTTTGTCTTTTTTTGACGCGGATACGTTCAACATCAACAATTCATATTAGCTTCTCGCGCATTTGCATCTATCGTTCAACTTTTCTCATTATATACAGGATGCAAAGCCAATTTTCTCAAGTTGTAATTGCGGTTTCATACCTTGCTAATTTTGCGCGATATAAATATATAGATACTACGCATGTTCGTTTACGAGTTTCGAGCATTCATCTCGACTGATGGCACGAAGTAGAGGGGACGCCCATCACAACGCGAAAGACTGTAATTTAGGAAATATGCATCATCTAACATCTTCGCAAAAAAACAAGTCGAAAGAGAAAAAACTGTTTCACTTTATTAAATTAATCCAATTCCAGCGATATTGTCGCGTCGCTGATTTCAGACTGGCACGCAATATCGCAAGATTTCGGCCAAATCGCGGCAATATCGCTGGAATAGGTAATGATCGCGATGATTTTGTTGTCGATAGGCTTCCATAGATGCTCTCCTAGCATAGTCTTTGATACGGCCAGTCTACTTGCCGATTAATTGAATTACCCAGTCTCTCAGAGAAAAATGCAAGTATACTCTCAATCGACCAATCCATAATTGATTGTTGTAAAGAAAACTAACATCAAGTAACCCTTAATATCAAACCGTCAAAATTTTCTCGAATGAAGGGGCATGGCGTTAGCAACGCCCTGCGGGTAATTTTTGAAGTACCTCTCAATTTTCCGGCACATCTATAATCCCACGAATTTTTTTCTGCAGAGCTAACTTTAATTTTTCAAATTCCGGAAAAATTTGGGCTGTCTAGAGGTGAAACACGTCAATCGCACAGTTTCGTAGCCCACGTAGATAACCTTCGAATTCGTGACCCATTCTCGGAAGGGGGGGGGGGGGAGAGGGTACGGAAAGAAGTCTCGCAATTTTGTCGAAACGAATTCGCAGCAATATGGTGTATAGAAAAGTGTGACAACTTTGTAACTAAAGCATTTTTGCTTGAACCAAATTAGATCAAATGAATGTTCTTGAGGCGTTCCTTATACAGTATTTGATGAGCTTAATTTCCTGTTTATTCTAGAGAGACTTTGGATCGTTGGAGAAGATGCAAGAAATGTTGTCGACTGTCACCATAGCTGTACAGGGATCCGGCTGGGGATGGCTCGGTTACTGTCCCAAATCAAAGAAGCTGAAGGTTTACTTTTGATTATCATCTGTCTGTCACAGCAAAAATCCAAGCATTTAGATTGCAACTTGTCCCAATCAAGACCCTCTCGAGCCTACGACTGGTTTGGTACCTCTTTTTGGAATCGATGTTTGGGAACACGCATACTACCTACAGTACAAGAATGTTCGACCTGACTACGTAAAAGCCATATGGAAAGTTGCGAACTGGAAGAATGTTAGTGAACGATTCTCTAAAGCGCAATGATAGAGTAGAGAACTAGACCACAAGGACGTTGTTTTATTTTGTTTTATTTGTTTCTTTTTATTTATGTTTGAGTAGAAGGTATAGACATGTTTTATCCAGCAATCCCATCTTTTTACGAATAAAAGGATTTTAGTCCTCCAGTATCGTAGAGAGCGTTTACTCAGACAGTCGAAGGGATACCTCCGGCGGGCAAATGGCGCCCCGGAGCACCAAAAGGGTGAAATGGCAGGGCTGCGGAGCGAGAGCGCGAAGTGGCAGACTCGCGCCATTTGCCCGCCGGAGGTATCCTTCGACTGTCTAAGTATGTTGTAAAAAATTTTTTAAGCTCTTGATTTTGAATGATATGCTTGCAATGCAAGTTATCGCACAAGCTGTGTGGATCAGATTTCATACAATCACATCACTGCATCAATAGACAGACTTTTTCATGTTTATCTTTCGACCGACCAATTTTACGTTAATCACAATGATTGTGTGGACAAAGAAAACATTTTGTACATTAATACTTGTTAGGCGGAAACTTCCCACCATGGAAATGGGTCTGCGTATTCCTGATTATCTGGATGACGTTTTGCATTGATCTGAATACGTAAGTCCTCTTAGTATTTCTACTGGATAAAACTTCGACGAACTTGGTAGTATCGGACGAGTTGATCAAGACTGGTATGGTGCACAAGCTTCTTTTCACCAGTGTTTACGAGATAGTATGTAGTGTCGTCGTTAGCTATTCTAGTCTCGACTGGGTAGTGTCTGAAAAAACCAGAACTTCGACCTGTAGTGAATGAGTTTGAATTGAGATTTAGTAGTAAGAAACCTTAGCACACCTGTAAGATCCAACTGCGGTTTTATATACAAGGCGCAGATTTAACTCAGGCTCCAGTTCGTCTAGTAGTGGATTTTGCTGCATCTGCAGACAAAGTTTTTGACAAATATCGGATGAACAATTAAGTAGCACCATGGAAAGTATTCCTCCTCGCTAGGTTGACACGATAGTTGTTGCAGAATTTGAAAGTCATAGATAAAATGATAATGAAACAAAAAAGCTGTTTTTTAATTGAAGGTTCATCCTACTATAAAAAACCAAAACACAAAAAGATACCGAACAGGGTGTCAGCGTATATCCTTTAAACAAGATTCAGCAAAATCCAAAACTTTGAAAGAAGGCATAACCCAAGTTCCACACTTTTTTACCCCCCCGCCCTCCCCCCCTCCCCCTCCATCAACTCCCGAAAGTTTGATGTTACAAATGAGTCTTGTCTGCTTTGAGTCAGAGTGGGTGAAGCATTTCATACGGGAGATTCGCCGCTGAAAGCTTTTAGTTTATCATGTTTTTCTAGTCCATTAAGGTTTTATTCTGATCTTTTTCTCCTATCTTTCAGTTTTCGGACGTCCCGCACCAGAATAAGCCGGCGTATAAGGACTTACTTCGTGGTACAGCCTAAAATCGGCCCTCTTTTTTACAGATTCTTCAGCTGCTGAGAAATTGCAGATTCCAAGGTAGATACTTCTACAATGGTTGCATGAATGTGAAAAATGTGGATGTCTGCTAACTCACGCGGCTGCTCCTTCATGAGAGCCATGGCTGACGGTATCTCCTTTTTGTAAGTTTCTGCAACAATTCTGATATTTTGCAATGGTCATCTACACGAAAAAAGTGCGTATCATTGAAGCGTCTTGGATCAGAAGGAGTACGGGAAATCAGATCTGGCCGCGCTTCAGGGAAAACTGTAAAATCATGAGCGCTTTGCTTTTCGATAATTTTGAGTTCCTGTGCTCCTGGCTACTACAGCTTGTCTTTGCGGAAAGGTGAAGCTAAGGTTTTTATGCTGACTAAAATGTACAAAGTAAGTACTAGGGAATCTCTAGAGAACTAGAGCGCGTAATATGTTTTATGGGTTTTCGATTAGCCCCTTTCAGCTTGCACTTCATCGCTATGAGTGCGAATCACTACATAAGATTATAGAATAAGAAATTCGTAGTGTAACAGTGAAAAACCCTGAGACGAAGGCTTGAGTCAGGAGCAAATTTTACTGCCAGAACTCAAGAATTGCGTTGAGAGCATGACGGTAGCGACGAGCTTTGAATCCCGCTACTCGAAGAATCCACGAGCATGTTGTTTTGCGCAGACTGCATTATCTCTTTTCTCCGCAGTTTGCAACGGAAATGACAATGGCATAATATCCGTTGGTATTTACATCAGTGCCAAAACTTTTCTCCGTGATTTTAAAACGTTGCCAATACGTCTCAGACTCTTTTTTGTGCGCTTTGCAATCCTTCGGCTCAAAAGCACCGTCCATTCAAACTGAGGAAGATGAGGTGATGTCGTATAATGGACGGGCCCTAGCTAGGCCATCGCCGAAGTTTCACTGCGAAAGTTGAATTCCCAAGCGAGAAAATCGCTCCAGAAGGTAAAGGCGGCACGTTGGCTCTGCCCATCAACGTGGGTGGTCTGAAGACAAAAAGTTCAAAACTGGGCTCTAGGGTAGATAGAAATGTCGAAAAACTGATAATCATAATGAAGGGCGTTTCATTTTTTTTCGCATCAAAGCCCGATTTTGGACTTTATTTGCAGACTATCCACATTGATGGTCTGAGCGAACGTGGAGCTTCCATCTTTTGGAGCGCTTTTTTCCTTCGGAATTCATCTTTTGCAGCGCGACCTGAGCGAGGGCTTGGTTATGGGCCCGTCCATTATATGGCATCAAAATCGCATTATCCTCAATTTGGGTGGATGGTTTTCTAAGTTTGGAATAACACCGAAAGTGCAAGAAATTATAGGGATTTCGATTTAAAGAAACAACGTAGTGCAACCTGAAATTCTGAACTATGATAAGACAGTGTATTTTCACGAAGAGGCTTGTAATACAGGCTTTCACAATGTTTGTCACTGGGCAGGCTGAGTCTTTTTACTAAATGTGAATCAACATACCGTTGCTCTTGTGATCGGAGAAATTCGAGGTTGCGCCCCTCTACAAATTGAGTGGATAAACCTCTGAAAAAATCCACTTTATATCTGAACCGCATTTGTTACTTTTTATACTAAACAATTTTTCCAGTCATTTAGAACGATTCAAAACTTTTTGCTTTGATAAAACAAAGCGAAAAAAGTAACTTGTTTCTAAGACCGAGCCCATTGTCGAACAAAGTACTAATTCTAATGAAAAGTCATGTGTCATCTAATATTTAGACGGTTTTAACGGTCCCACTGAAAGACTGATCTTCTCAGATTATTTTTACCGTAAGATTGAAGGCTGGGATCAAAACAGGACTTTTAGGATTTGACAGTAATCATTCAGAAAGTAAAGACAAAAGTCTGGAGCTGGAGAATATGTCACTGACAGTCACCCTGGACCCCGGGATTCGAATTGCCAAATGCTTTTGCAGGTTTTTTACATCTTGATCCTCAACTCAACCTCAACTCAATCATAGTTCTGTTTATAGACTGTGGTCAGCCAAAGACAAATGTAAGCACCGTAGAAAATGACTATGTTGGGTCTTTTTAACAGAGCTCTAGCAGAATCTTGGTCATGAAATTCCGTCGCTCTTTTTAGCGACAAGGAAGGCAATGATGGAATGATGTTTTAAATCGCAAACTCGTAATCACTGTTGGGATCATTTGTACTAGAAAAATATTCGGGCATGATTCGTGCTGCCAGTCAGCTAATTGCCACTCACAAAGAAAGTTCAATCCGACCTAGCCAAGTTGGGACCTCACAGCTCGCCACATATTCGCGTCACTGATCACTGCTGGCAGTCGCCTTGTGAGTCTGTTTTTGGGAACAAGAGGCAATTTTCCCAAAAAAGATTTACCGAGCGCAAACATGCGCTGATACCGTTCGAATACGGGTTAAAGAGCTACTACTGGGGTGGACAAGGTTGTGTAAGGTATTGACGCAATTCTCTTCACTCAATATTTGCTAGTGGATTGGTGGAAACACATTCTATAGAAACAAAGCAATTCCATCTATCCGGTGTGAAAAAAAACCAGGCACTCAAAGTTCCAACTTTACAGTACCTGTCCCAAAGACAGCCACTAAGTATTGCTAGCGCATAAAGATTCTGCCATAGTTCATGCGATTTCGCTTACTGCTCTAACGGCGGCAGGCAGAAGAACGTACGATTTATCCCTGTATATTTGAAACATCCCATACTTCCATGCAGTCATGCAGTCATAAGCGTAACACCCCTTTTGCTGTGCTTGCTGCCTTGTTCAACAGTTTGCCCACTACATGTGTATGTGAATAAAATCTTATTCGCCTATACTTGAAATATTCCTAAATGAAGTATGTTAAAAAGCAAGGCGCACATGGTAGAAGTTTTTCCAGAGATTTCAACTTGTCACGGTGGCACAGTGTTATGAGGCGCAGCTATAAATTAGCGTGATCACGGCCCGATTCCCTTCATTCATGTTCTCTTGGTTTCGTTGTATGACTAACATCTTTGATTGGTTTTTTGTTTGGAACGCCGTGAGCGTACAAATGAAAATGAAAACTCCCGCACGAGGCGTTGACGCCAAGTTCTTTATCCTTTACCAGTGCTTCACCTCTGCTTCGCGAGGCTCGCACTGGCCATCAAGAAACGATGGTAAACTTACGATGTGAAGGCTTCCTTTTAAATTATTGCCAGGTTGACTGCGGTGAGAGAGTCCTAATCAAAAATGAACCATACTCGCAAACAGAACCTCATATGCTCCAAAGAATTGTAAATCATTCCTCACTGTATATTCGTAACAGACAGACTTACAGACCGACAAATAAGCGGCTTATTATAAGTCATGATCCTTTATTTTAGCTTGTTTTATCGAATGCACGGATGGATGGTCCAACTGCTTTTCTACTCGATGGATCCTTGTGCGAAGCGTGCATGTCACGAAATTTTTGTAAGCTACGTTTGAAGGTTTATGCAAGATATGGTGCAAATTTTGATTCAACGAAGTGTAATGAGGAAAATCTGGGATGGGCACGATTTTTAAAGAAGACTAAGGAGAAACACTTACGCGCTTTCATCCACCTGCATATATGACTTTGTGCTTCCGCTAATCAAAGAATCTTTACCAGAAATTTGACGTTGCTGGAATGCAACTCATCATTGACAAAACGTCCCATGGAATTTCCTAACTCACTCCTCCATCGGAGTACTCCGCTCTTCTTCTTGCTGACCTTCGCCGAGCGCGTTCCTCTCGTCGTTTTTGGCGACGCCTAGCGTGCTTTTCGGCATGTCTGAAAACTGAACCTTTCAGCACTCTTCCATGCAAGTACTATCACACATCAAATGTTTCGCGAGCCTGTCGATAGCTTCTTCTTGTCGAGTCTTTTTCTGCTCGTTCGGTTCAACCAAATTTTCATAGCCGTAAGAGTCAGTTGACGACTCTGAGGTCATTAATTCGGACACTGCGAAGGTGTAAAAAACTCAGTCTACCTTTCCGTTTTACGTCTTCTGCAAACTGATGACTTGCGCGACATGCTTTTCCATGCAAACAGCATTCGAGTGGCTCACTGCATCTTGGTGGTGACATTTCCAAAATGATCATACTTCGTTGAATCATCCTTAATGGTTGTTGCATCGGGACGATTTTTGTTGCATATAATTCGCGTAAACAAACTAGGTGGGTTACTTCGAAGATGTTTTGTGTGATTAGAATCAGCAACACAAATTCCAAGAAGACTCCTCCAATAAACCTCAATCCCAAACAAATGATTTTAAGAAGTTCCTCTTGGCCTATGGTTTTGAGCAGGGCCAGGGGGTAAGACATTCTCAGACAATCGACCGGACCCCTCCGCCGGCCAGTCCGAATCTGCCAGAGTCGCGCCGGACCCAGTTGACCAATGAGAGAGGGGCAAATGGGCGGTCCGTCGCGGTGACATCACTGGCAGGCAAGTGGGAGCAGGGCCCGGCACGCGTTGGTTTGAAGCGTTTCTGGAAACGAAGTCCCCCATGACTTCGCGAAAATTTACGAAGTCCCTCTTGACGTAAAAATCGGTAGGGAAACCCTTAATTAGTCAAAATAACATTAAAAAAGCGGAAAAAGCGCATTTTGAGGTAACTAATACAACAAAAAAGCAAAAAGAAAACATTTCGAGTTGATTAAAGGCTCTGTCATTGAGTAGTGCACCATTTTAGCGCTCAGAATGTCGAGAACCTCCTAGGCCAACCAAATCTGTGGCCTCAACTATCTGGCACTGCATTTTTCGCCACATAGTTCAAAGGACACCGCGTGTGATTGGAGCGCAATATCTATCAAAGCGTTTAGATTTGCACTACTTTTGGCTCAAAAGAAGAGGAGAGGCAATAGTTTGATTCGCTCTCTTCACTATATAATAGATTTTTGTGCGTTTTAATCGTCCAAATCAAAAAGGTCCAAAACTTATGTGAAATCTCCGAAATTTATGCTCCGAACCAACCCAGTTGGTTCGGTGGTTGGTCTAGAAACCAACAAATCCGGAACGGATATTCAGACACATAAGTTTTGGGAACTTTTTACATAACATAGTTTGGAGTAATATTGTATACTCATAGCCCAAATTCGGAGCCATGTGATTGTTTGTGCGCTGTAAACAAGCCATTTGTTTGTTTGAGTCTTGCATTTGAAATTCGCGCGCTTGCGAAAGAACACGTTTAACTCGTGAAACCTGACATGTTCGTCGTGTTTTTTGGCGCTTCCTCCAGGACCTCATAAAAACGATGTCCCCGTTGCTTCTAACTCCAAAAACGAAGTCCAGTTTGACCCCAAACCATCGGTGCCGGGCCCTGAGTGGGAGGCTTCTCCGGCCCTGCTGCAAAGGTACGCCATTACTCCGGCGCGGCTCTGCCAGATTTGGAAGAGCCGCGCCGCAGAAAATGGGAGGGGTCCGGAGCACAAATGGGAGGTCTCCGGAGCAGAAAATGGGAATTATCCGGAGCAGAAAATGGGAGGCCTCCGGAGTAGAAAATGGGAGGTATCCGGAGCAGAAATGGGAGGTATCCGGAGCAGAAAATGAGAGGTAGGCGGACCAGAAAATGGGAGGTCTCCGGAGCAGAAAATGGGAGGTCTCCGGAGCAGAAAATGGGAGGTATCCGGAGCAGAAAATGGGAGGTATCCGGAGCAGAAAATGGGAGGTATCCGGAAATGGGAGGTCTCCGGAGCAGAAAATGGGAGGTCTCCGGAGCAGAAAATGGGAGGTATCCGGAGCAGAAAATGGGAGGTCTTCGGAGCAGAAAATGGGAGGTATCCGGAGCAGAAAATGGGAGGTATCCGGAGCAGAAAATGGGAGGTATCCGGAAATGGGAGGTCTCTGGAGCAGAAATGGGAGGGCTCCGCCGGACGAGTGGGAGACCCACCGCTGGGGAAACGCCGCGACCCTGCCATTTCTCCGGCGGAGGGGTCCTATCCGCTGCCTGAGTTGGTAGTGCCCGACTGGATGGTCTTATCAAGGGATGACTGGAGAGGGTGAGGTTGCAATCAAGAGTTAAACTCGTTTATACTCAGGGAAAAGTGAAGAAGAAGAGGCCTAGACCGGTGAACAGAGGTGCAATGGGCGAAGGGACACGACTGGGTTTTCCACAAAGGAATGTATAGCTAGAACCGAATATTTTTCGAAAATTCATATTCGAATGATTTATTCGAACTAGAGTAGTCGAATATTCAGTAACGTGCATAAATGATGGATTACTCGAATAGTCGAATAAATGAAAAACACTTTTGTTCAAAAATTTGCTTATTCGACGAATCGAAAAAACAACTTATTCGAAATTTTTTTTCCAATCCGAATATTCGAAAGAATTTCGAATAAGTTGTTTTTCCCCCACAATGGTCGGCCGCCTCAACGTGGCGTGGGGGTGACACTGGGTGTCGAACTGCGATGCACAGCCGAGTGTATACTCTGGTAGGTCCTCCCAAGCTGTGAAGGAGTGCGACATTTCTGGTTTCGTCCGGATGCCTAGCTAGGAGCCGGCCAGGAGAGATCCCCCGCCGTCTTGTTTTCCGATGGCTAGGCGGCTCTCCCCGCTCCACTCTCGGGGCAGCGATCGTTCCGTGGAAACATGAGTTGGCCTAGTAAGTCTGCTCTTTTTTTAGCCTTGCATTATTCTCATACGGAGTATACCACTCTTGTTAGTCTCCTCCATGTTTCACGATCTAATGCTTGACGTTCGTCTATTCCAAGCTCTCTTAAGTCTGACTTGACTCTGTCTGTCCATCGCAACTTGGGTCTTCCTCTTGGTCGTCTGCCGCGGACCTCTACTGTCGCTAGTCTGGTGATGTGTTTGATGTTTTCTTCCTCTCGCTTTCTGACATGGCCGTACCAGCTAAGCCTCCTTGCACTTTCTTGGTTATTTGGGCTATTTTCATCGTTGTTCGAATGGTATCATTAGTGACGTGGACAAGCATCGTGACACCCATCGTCCGTAGCATGCGTGTTTCCATCACTCCAAGCTTTCGTTAATCCTTAAGTGTGCACGGCCAACCACTTTCATACAGCGCGATTGGGCAGACGACAGTGCGGTACATCTGGGGTTTCAGCTTGAGCGGCATTCGTTTATCGCATACTCAGATAATCGCCGGGGGCAGGCGGTCCGCAAACTCGCGCTTTTCTGCAGGCGCTTTTCAGCAGAATTTTGGGGCGTGGCCAAACCTTCAGCGGGCGGTACTTCCGCGTTCTGCCAGTGGGCAGCAATACAGAATTTTCTGCGAGCGCTCGTCAAATAATATCTTCCAGCGAGCGCTGGCCAAACTTTCAGCAAGCGCTCGGACTCTTTTTAGGTATTTTCGGGCGTACGTCGAGCACAGGTAAGACTCTGTGTGGTAGAGGTGTCACCGTTGGTTTAATTACTCAAGTTTGAGGTACTTTCTCTCAGCGGAAAGTACCTGGGGGTTGCGCGGTCCTCCACAAAGGACCGTGCGGCCCTCAAAAACTTTGCATATTCTCGCGGAAAGTCCGCGAGAATGCGGCCACTGCGCCGCAGCTAATCCATAAAGAAACCGCAATTGTTCTTCAAGCATTCGTCTTTAATTTTGCCAACTTTCTTCCAAATTTCTGCAAGCGGGCCGCAAAAAATCAACGAACTATTTTTCCGGTACGCGCTTGCTCAAAATTCGCATGGCCGCCTGCCCCCGGCGGTTATCTGAGTAGCACCCCTGTGAGACTTCTCCATTTCAGCCATGCTGCGTTTATACGACTGGTTATTTCGCCTTCGACGTGCCATCTGCCGCGATGCAATTTCCAAAATATTTGAAGGACGTGGTCTTCTTGATCTGCGTGCCCGCAATCTGGATCTTCTCTGGCGTTTGAAGTCCCAGCTCCATGTATTCTGTCTTGGCCGTGTTGATCTTTAGACCATGTAGCTCGAGCTGTTCTTTCCACATTGCTACGTCCGTCTCCAATTCCTTCCTGCTTCTTGCCATCAGGAGCACATCATCTGCGTACATGACGGTCCAAGGAGGTGGATTTACGAAACTTCTGACTATCGTGTCCATCACTGTGATGAAGAGTGGGGGGGGGGGGGGGGGAGAGTACGGATCCTTGGTGTATACCGACATCTGTGTGGTAGTTCTCTGTACGTTCTGCTACTGTTCTTACGTAGCTGGTGGCATCCTTGTATATCATTCTGATCCACCGAGCATATTCTTCTGTCATCTCGTGCTTCCGCAGTGCCCACCATATTCGTAGTGCGGTTCTCTGTCAAATGCCTTCTCAAGATCCAGGAATGCCGCGTGGAGCTCACATTGCTTTTCTCTGCTTCTCTCCATCATCATCCTGACGGTGTGAATGGCATCTGTCGTACTGCATTCTTTCACGAATCCGCACTGGTTGGAGGCCAGTATCACGATACTTCGGAGTCGCATCTCTAGTATTTTCTCAAAGTTCTTCAGCGTGTGGCACATGAGACGGATAGGTCGGTAGGTGGAGCAGTCAGCTACGTCGCCTTTATCATGACTTATAATAAGCGGCTTAATCTGAAGTTGTGTGGAGTTTGTCCGTTACGAAATTACAGTAAGGAATGATTTACGATACTAAACATCATGTGAGGTTAGAATAGCGAGTATGGTTCATTTTTAACTACGGCTCACTTTTGCAATAAACCGAACAATGATTTGAGAGACAAGCTCTCAGAAAGTGAGTTTACCACAGTTTACCACGTTTACCAGTTTACCAGTTTGCCAGTGCGAACCTCTGCGAAGCAGAGGTGAAGCACTGGTTCTTGTATATCGGTACCGTCGTGCTTCTGTATCAGTCATCTGCTCAGATAATCGCCGGGGGCAAGCGGCCATGCGAATTTTGAGCAAGCGGGCACCGGAAAAATAGTTCGCTGATTTTTTGTGGTCCGCTTGCAGAAATTTGGAGTAATTTTGGCCAATTTTTAGACGAACGCTCGAAGATCTATCGCGGTTTTTCTATACATAAGTTGCGGCACAGTGGCCGCATTCTCGCGGATTTTCCGCGAGAACATGCAAAATTATTGAGAGCCGCACGGTCCTTTTTGAAGGACCGCACAGCCCTCAGGTACTTTCCGCTGAAAGAAAGTACCCCAAACTTGGGTAATAAAACCATCGATGGCACCTCTGCCACA